ATGTGGGCTGGGCTTTCAGAAAATGAGGGTGGCAATAAAACTTACTTCCCCGGATCCTTGGGCAAATTGAATACCCGTTTCGGGCACAGGAAATTGAATAGTTTCAGTTTGCCATTTGGCAAATAATTCGCAGTCAACTTTTCAATTTTCTCGCTTATGTTGATTTGTCCGGCCATTGTTTGCATCGCTCAAACTTCGAGCTGCTTTTGTCCGTCAAAGTAATTAGGAAAAAGCCGTCCGTAGTCCAAGTACTTGCCCATTTGCTAACTCCAGACTCTGACTCTAACTTCTATATGTGTATGTTCATTATGTGAACATGCAGCTTATTTGATTTCTGCATGCAAATTAGTCGACTAAGGACATTTGCTGAATAAATTTAAAGCAGGGGCGGAGTTTTAGCAACGAAAGAAGCCGAAAAACTGAAAGCTATTTACAAAAACCCGGGGAAAACAAAGTACTAGCGGCATCAAGAGGTGGCATTGGAGTCCTCTAAGCAAAGCGTGTAAAACGAGTGAATGTCCTTAAATAAACGCAACGTGGCAAAGGAGCAGGGCGGAGGAGCTATGGACCTGGATGGCGCCGTGGCGCAGATTATAATTTCAAAAGAGACGAGCGACCAGGACAGAAACGGTTGAGTTGAGCTCCGTTCGCTTATGGGGGAATGGACAATGTGTGTGGAGCGGGACGTGGATGTGGACGAGCACAGAACGAAGGACAAGGGACAGCAACCTTCATTATGAAAGTTGCTGTTTTCATTATATTCCTCGGCAAGTTGGAGGGGTTGCCAGGATGCAAGGATGTCATGAGGCCAGCACCCACCACAACAACAACTAATCTACATTTAAAACGCGGCAGCTAGATGAAAGGAATGGGTTTGGCTTTTGCACAGAGAAAAAAAATGTGCTACTAGAAGACCTTTACTTCGGTGAAACAAAAAGCTTTCTTTGCATTTGTCGTTTTAGGAAGTTATAAACATTTTTAAGTTGTTGATTATTAAACACTTTTTTCCTTTTTTACTTTAGTTTCAGTCTTACATTTTTGGAATAAATAACCCAACTTATGTCTCAGGAAAAAACCTTTATTTTACTAGAAATTATGTTTCAACCTCTTTTACAGTGAACAAAAATGTATTTAGAGTGGGCGTAGGGCTTACGGTTAGAATGTTTTATTTTTGCACCCTGAAGGCATTTGCCGAAAGGATTCATCTTACGACATTAGTGACCTCGGCAACTGCGCACAAACATGCGGCAGCGGAAGGATAATCAGCCAGAGGATGGGAGACCTGGTCTTCATAGTCAGATGGAGGACTGGGGTCCTGTGCTTTGTTGTGCTCTCTCCTAGTGCAAATATAAGTTTACCCATAATGGCTGCCAACGGCAGCAGCAAAATAAAATACGAATGAAGGGAGGAGGAGGTCAGCACTTGCCTTGTACCTTGGGGTACAATCTGCCACAAATTCTAGCTGGCAACCACCCAGGATATCGCTCCTCCCCTCTAATTTCTCATTTTCCCTCGCCCTTGTGGCGGGGGTGTCAAAGTTGTGGGCATCTTCTGCTGACTGCGTCACGTAGCCCGGGCTTCCGATGTCCGTAGACTCCTCATTTATTTTACTTAATTGTCAAGTCGGAATTCTGAAAGGGTTGTCAGCACACTTGCCACCCCTTACATTCAACCTTACTTAACTTGAAATTTTCGTTACGCTTTTGCTTCACTGGCTCTACTACTGGGACTTTTTTAGATGGTAAGAGAAGAAAGCAGGAAGTATGGGTATAAGTACTTTAAATGCTGGCATTTCCTTCCATTAGAAAACTTTAATTTCTTCTTCATCAATTTGGACATCCTTTGTGGCGCATTCCATGCCATTTCATTTCATTTTCGAAAAACCACTCTGTGAAAGTTCGCCAACCGAAATCAGTGCACTTCGCCCGCCCACTTCTGGTAGCTAGTAGCAACTGTGTTTTTGGCCCAAAAAGCCCCTCTGGCTGTGCATGCACCAACCCATCAGCTAACCAGCAGCCCCTCTACCCAAAAAACCCAGCAATCCACAGCCACCGCGAACTACCAAGCGAACCACTACCACTATCTGAGTGGAGCCAACACTAACACCAAGACCAACCTGAACAGCCAGCATAGGGAGACAGACAAAGTTTTTGGAACAGCTGCCCGATGTACAATATAAATGTGGTTTTCATATTTTTGTGGTTCACTTCATGTGAGAGCTGGCCCAAACTGGCTCCTACAACGTCCATAATGAAAGCCATTCATAAAACTTTAGCTAAATACGAACATTCATTATAAAATAATTTCGCCGAAATACGTGAAATCGGGCAGCAGGCAAAAGGGATTTGTGGGAATGTGAAGGGGGGCGGCAACGTTGGCAAAACTCTGGTTTGTGGCATAAAATTTACATGCAGAGTGAAAAAGTTATGCACTGAACTAAAAGATAATAACCAATCCATGGTCTGTGTGCCGTGCTGCTTCATTAAACTTATGTTTGTATTTCGAGCGGTTTCGCTGCCAAAAAAAAAAGAGGATACCATTTCCTTAAACCCACCCGATGGGTGCATATTGCATTTTGGGTAGAGTGAGTGCATGCCAGTGCGGATTGTAGGGAGAATTTGAATAAAATTTTGTAGAACATGCCAGGATATGTTACTAAACTAGTTCCTAAGATTTGTTAGAATCTTAAAGGAAATAATCAAAAATTGCTAGTTAAAACAAAGAACTACTCAGCATTCCCTTTCCGTAGAATAAATACCACATTTGCATAACATTATTTTAAGAAACAATCTCCATAAATCTTTGTCCCCAGAGTAAGAGACAGATCCTGTAGAGATCCCGGACACCCCTGACCTTAGTCGCACTACGTGACTGGCCGTAATGAACAGCTTCCTTTCGCCGGCTCTCTAATCCATTACTAAATTAAACACAACACTAAATATAAATAAATAGCTAGACAGCGTGACAGCAAACAGACTGAGAGAAGGTAGAAGTGCCCAGGATTCGAAGGGGGATTTAAAACCTAAGCAGCTGCTGGTGCGGGTACCATACTTTGGTAAAAAAAAAGGAGACTCCCCAGCTGCTGGAGACAGCTAAGAACCCTTTCTAATTTGACTAAAACGCAAACACAGTTTGGAGTTGGGTTCTTGGAACTTCTGTCTCTCTCGAAACAATAAATCATCAGGACCTCTGACCCCTTCGAATGGAGACCTTTAATTATACGCTGTCCTGTGCGTAGGCTCAAGTGTGTTTTGAAACTAAATCTGCCCACCCAGTGGCCCAACCTTCTCATTGGTGCCCAAAACAATTAAACCCTTTCTGTTCCGTTTTACTTGGCTAACCTTTAGTCCATCTCATTCCCCAACCATTCGTTTGGCGATTCCTTGATGGCCTGCCATTTTTATGCGGCCATCAGGGTCAGGGCATTTGCATTCCAAGTAAGCTTAAAAAATTAATGACATTAAGAAGTTGGGTCCTTGGGGGTCTGAAATGGCATCGCCGTTGAGCTGGGCTGCCATTTCATTGCCGGATCAAATTGCTAAACCAAACAAAAAGGACGCGGGCCAAACGCCTTTCTTATTAATGTTCTTTGTTTAACTTGGCTTTTGTGTTAACATTAACCCCTTGACAACGCCCGGATCGATGTCCAACGGAAATTTCCTCGAATTATTTAAATTTTAAAATAGAACTCAAGGGCTCTGAGAGAGTGCAGCCACATCCGCAGCTAAAATCCCTGTTCATACAAAATTTTAAATTGCACTAATTGCAAACAAATTTTCTAGTGAATTACCTTTTGCAAAACTGCAGACCGAGAGAGAGAGAGAGAGACTCGAAAAGGATGTGGAAGCCAAACCACAAAATATATATTTTTAGAATTTTAATAACATGAGCAGCAAGCTGGAGGGCACATGAAAATGGAGTCGGTCGGAAAACTCAATCTTTGCGGTGCTGTAGGGATTCTGCCAGAGAAAAGTTGGCAGGGTAGGAATGCTGCTTGCTCATATTAGCCCAGAATCATATTCATAATTATTATTTTTGGAAGCGTAAACTAAAACTTTCCTCTTGCGGTAAGTTGAGCCGCTCAGGAACCCACCCATCCTGCGGATAAAGTTTATCCTTGGAGCTGGGGCGAAGCAATTTCGAGGAAATATTTCATTAGGGAATGCAGCTTCTGTTATGTTAGCTAAATGCTTAAATACAAAATAATAAATGCTCAGAGGAGCATCTACAAAAGATGAAGTTACAAATGCTCTGTTCATAAGGGAATAAAGTTGCTAAAAGAGGAATATCTAATACATTTAATCTTCCTTATGCTCTTTATTAGAAGGTTACCATTTTGAAAAACAAGGATTAGGGAAGCTTTTATGAAAAATCTATCCTTAACACTATTGTCTTCAACCCCACTCCAAGTGCGAGTCCCATTTTGGAATGTCCAGATCGGCGCACGCGTGCTGTCCACACTTAAGGGATGATGCCCGTCCCGTACGCAGATAACCCATCCTATTTTGGGGTGGAGATCAATTAACCCTTGACTTCTGACTTTTGTGGCCATATCCCGTATCGGAATAAGACACCCCAATTACCAGGATTGCGAAGTAATCATCAAATATTATTTGTTTAGAGTAGTTTTTGAGGATCTATAAATATTTTTAGTTGTCCTTGGTGCCGGGGAGTTTTGCTTCTCATAGGCGACAAGAACCCGTTTGACAGGCTCTTTAGTTCCCAGGGAAAAAGCATCCCCCAACCCCTTGCAGGCACCCTTGTCAAGGTTATTAACCGAAATTGTTTTGGGAAAAGGCTGAAAGGGTGAACCGGGTGAAAAAGGTGAGGCGCTGCTCAATGGTCAGAGAACCAGTTTGCAAGACAACTCTAAGATCTTCTTCCGTCATCAATTGTTGGTCGAACAAAAGAAAAACTCTGGCTGAAAAATGCATTATTTTTCACCCAAAATCCGATGATCAAAACGAGTTTTTGCTAAAAGAGGATCTTCTATTTTTTTCGGTCCAAGCTTTTTAACCAACCTTCTTGATGATCAGTTGGAATTTAGCTGCGAACGCGATGTGATCGAAACGGAACTGAGTGCCGGACTTTGTCGACTCTCAACTTAGGTGAGTCTGCAATGAAAATTTTTGGGGGATTCTCTTGCAAAATCGAAAAAACTATCCAATTTAATGGGAAAACTGCGAGCGGAAGTCGCTTAAAGGACACACTTTCGAGAGACCGCAGGAGAAAGGCGAACGGAGATTGGGGAATGGAGAGAGAGAGCGAGAAAAGGGTTACAAGGTTACTCAAACGTCCTTCGCCTTCGCCTAAAAAAACCCAAGCTAGACCAGACCAGACCAGACCCAACCAGACCAGGACATAGCAAAACAAAACACGAAACGCAGCAGCATAGAAAAAATTGTTGCCGCTTTCCTTTTCCTTCCTGGCGCGTCCACATATCGCATATTTTTTGCCGCTTCTCCTTTTCGGCACCCGCTTTCTCCACTTTCTCCCCATATACCCATTTCTCCACTCTTCCCCGCATCGCCGTGTCGTAAATTTCGCAAAAAATATATTTTCTAACAACCCAAACAAACAAATGGCAGCATGCAAAAAATACAAATCCCGACCCCGCACAAAAGTCGCGCGAAAAAATCAGCAAAACCCACCAGGACATGTGTGTTGCATGTGTACATGTGTGTGTTTCAGTTTGGACGAGAGGATATAGAAAAAATATATATATTATAAATGTGAATAAGCTGAGCTGACTACTCTGTGGGCGCAGCCACGGTTCTTTTTTTTTTCTGTTTTATTTTTGTAATTTTATTTTTTTAGACCTCATTGTGGGTCTGACTTTGCACGGGTGGCTTTATATTTGTTTGATTAGAATCCTGGGGTCGATTACCGGCAGGAGTTTTAATTCGTTATTAATTGACGTCGATCCGATTTATTTCCAATGCGGTTGACTCCATTTGCCCTCAATTGTATTTGGATTCTAGTCGAAGGGTACGGAAAGGTCTCTAAAATGAAAGGTTGGGTTGGCTAAAAGTCCATTGATCTGAAAGGATTAGACTTTCGTTTGATATAAGAAGGAGGACTTCCATTAACCGTAACTTTTGTTTTATTTTCATCTCGGTTGTTTGTAGATGTTTCATTTTTATGATATTTGTTTTTCTAAAATGCAATCTTAATGAAAGATTTGTTGTAAGGAATCAATCTGTTGGTCAATGGACTTTGAGCCTTAACAGTCAACAGAGTGTGGTAACAGATGTTCACTTATTTTCTTAATTTTTTATATTCAACATCTCAAAAGAAGCCTAAAAATTCAAATAACTTAAACTTTCCAGGCTGTAAGTGTTTTTTGTATGGATTTAAAATAGCACTATAAAAATTTTCAAATGAATGAGAATGGATATGCCTTTGGTAGTGACTTATCAATGGGTTCTTATTTATAGTTATGTGACTTAGTCAGTGATAATTGTTCAGCTAGCCCTTGATCGATAACAGTTACAAACTTTTGCAAAAGACTGAAAACAAATCCAAGTAAACTAATGGAAAAGAGGTCTAGATAGAACTTAAATAATAACCTACTCTAAGTTGCTAACACTTATCATACAAAACTTACAAAGTTTACAAATATAAACCGAAACACTACCCAGAAAAACTTCTAATTGCAACCCCCTTTCAAGATAATTCCTCCATAGAAACTTCATAAGATAAAATGTCTTAACGACCACATTCAATTACTCAAAAATGCATTCCCATCATCGTTTGTTGATTGAAAATTATAGCTGGCAAATATTTCAGCTAGTAAAATGATGTTTGAGGAATGGCCAAAGTCTAAGTGGGCGGGGGAGTCTATTGCCTGAGCTTGAGGATACGTAAGGGGTTTGAGTTGGAGTCCAGATCCAAGGTGGAAACGGTGGGTTGAGTGGGAGGTAGGTTGAGAAAAAGTAAGCAGCATAAAACTGCAGCAGGCACCCGATTGGCTTTGGCCACGCACACAAAATGTGCATATAGAGTGCAACTTTTAGCACCAACCGAATGCAGTTCCACACACACACACACAGCTGTATTTCTGCATGTATGCATATGCATGCCCGGTGTATATATATATACATAGAGAAAAAAGAGTGGCAAGTGAATATTTGTTGTACATGGGCAGCCGAAGCGAAGGGAAATCAAAAACTGAAACAGGGACGGCAAAAATAAAAGCCAAATAAAAACAGTGCGAAAATGCCAAAAACTGTCGTAGAAAAATGCACTTTTTCTGGGTGTGGCAAAATGGAAAAATAGCAGAAACAGCAGCAGCAGCACCAGCATCAACAGCGACGCCGACGTTGGCAGAGGTGCATTAGAGCGCCGAGGAGTTTTCAAGCTGCAACATGCTCCATCTCCATGATGGCTGCCTAAAATGGCAGCATGATGCAGTTTTACACCCATCTACATTCACACCCACACCCACTCATCCCACACCTTTGTTCTTTTTTGTTGCCTTGCGCATTTTTAGTTGGTGCAGGCGGAATGCATTTTTACTCCCTTTTTGCACTGGTATATAAGGACCTGCGTCTGTGTCGGTACGTGTATCCCTATTTGGTATCCTAAAAAAGTACACAAAATTTTGGTGCGCCGGCAGTGAAGTCGACAGCGACGTCAGCCGCACAAACACGCCCATGTTTTATGTACAGGACCAAAAAAGGGGCCGGCAGAGGAGGTGGGCTGAAGAGCCCTTTACATGCGCAGCTTTGCACTATGTATCTATGTGTGGAATCGTGCAAAAAGGAGCAAAAAAGCGAGAGGCAAAACACTAAAACTAATGCGCGAGAAAGAGAAACAGACATTAGAAAAACGCTGCGCATTGGTATTGGTGAGCGAGCCGAACAGCCATCGTTGCGCAGCGAGAGAGAGCGAAAGTCAGCAGAGGAGAGAGAAGGAGAAGGAGAGAGAGAACGTGGCAGCAACAGGACGAAGGACGAAGTGGATGGCAGCTGAGTTGTTTGAGGAAGTGGGTGGCTTCGTAACCATCAAATTGATCCGAAAAATGAGTTTTCAATAGATCGCAAGATTTCATCTTGAGAAATGTACTTTTCTTAAAGATTCCTTTTATCCTTGCTTCTGGGAGTCTTCTTCTTCTTATTCAGTTGAAGTTTTCCTTTTTTCTATATACCCAACCAAACAAAACACGAAGCTGGGAATCGGAATCGGACTCGAGTCCTCGACATTAGCCGCACACACAAAAATGCCAGAAACGCTCTTCTTTTTCCTCGCATTTTTCCACGTCCATTTGCATCTGTATGGGTTGTGTGTCTGTTATAGCATATTCACATATACAAGTACAGAAACGAAGGGATATAATTTAAACGGCTCTTCTCTCCTTTTTCACTTTGCCAGGATGCGTGTGTTTGGTCTTGGTTTTATGTTGGGCGTCCTTAGAAGTTAATGGTGCGTATGCGTGATGGAGTTGGGAGTATGACACGATAAGAATAAGGAAGCGGGGAAATAGCATTCATGTTTATCGGAATTATCTGGGTATTATGAGGATATTTTTGCTAAAGTGAGATTTATTGATCATTTCTGATGATCTAAAAGCTTATTAATTTATAACAACTAATATTAGTAGAAAGATTTCTTTATTAGAAGTATTTCTTTAATATCATAAATATTTTACTGAAATCTCTTAATTTTCTAGTTAATATTTTTGATTTATTCATTGGTTTTCAAGCCTTACGTTTGAGCTTGGAAACACTCTCTACTTTTTCCCCATTTTAAATAACTTTTAACCAGCATCTCTCTGTAGCTCATTCATCTCAGCATGATCTATAGTCCAAAGCTGAATGCATTTCAGAAGAGCGTGCAATTTAATTTGAAATAAATTAAAGACTATTCACATGGCCAGATTAAAAGCAAGCCCGTACTCGCACAAAACACCCATATAGCGTTGGTCAAAATGACCGGCATTGTTTTTGCCTTGGCAACTCAACCGCGGCACCATAATAAACGTAACTATAATACAAAATAAACACATAACCGAAACAATCTAAATATGGCGAAAATTTATGTATTGATTTTCATTAATAATATTCTGGCTGCAGCCGCCTCTGCCTCTGCCATGGCCACTGCCGTTGCATTTTGCTGTTGCTGGGGCTCAGTATCCTCTATCGCTCTGCTCTAGTCCTGGCCATGGCATTTTTCCAATTTGGGCTCCGCTGGACGCCGGCAAATTGAAAATTTTCCCCAAAAACAAAACAAAAACAAAGCAGCTGGCTGGAGTAGGAGAGTAGAGATGATGGTGGAGTGGCAGAGTGGCAGTCGGGCAAGTGCATCATTTTTCATCAAAAACTTTTGGGGACGAAATGGGCAAACAAACGAAAACCATTTCAACCATGGCCAGAGGCCAGCATAGGCTGCAGCTGCAATGGCAGTAGCTCTGGGTTATGCATCATAACTATATGTGTGGCAGGGGCTTCGACTAGGCTGCATAAATCTATGGATTTCAGGAGGCGGCCAACTCATGCTCCTGTTCCTGCTCCTGCTCCTGCTGATTTCGATGCTGCTCCTGATGCACCTTTGATATGCAATTTATGCATGTCATCAGCGCTGCGTCTGCGTCCATTGTCCTCCCAGTTTTAGGAGAATGGAGCGGCTAGCAGTGGGATGCGAGAAGGAGTCACTACCTAAACACAGCACACCCACGCATCCAAATCCTTTTTTGCTGCCAATTTATAGGCCTCCACCCAGTGCAATGTTATTTTTGGAGCTCGTGCATATGTATGTCTGTGAGTGTGAGTGTGTGCATTGCGTTTTTCCGGCTTTCCTATTTGCATTGTCGACCAGGCGATGGGAAAGGCTGCAATGTTTGCCCTTTGGTTTTACAGTGGCGTATAGTAAAGTCCTCCCTCACAGCCGGGGCCAGAAATCATGTTTTTGCCAAAATGCATTTTCATACGCCACGTAAGCCCGGTTCCATGTACGGCATGCATGCATGCGGGCCCACATGCACATAGAAACCTCCTGCCATTCTCCCATCCATCCATCCTCTATGTACTAAGAGCAATGCACTCCTATCTAATCAAAGTTTGGGGGGGCGATACTGCAGGTTCGGGTTGCATTCTACACATTTCCAATG